CATCGGAAATTGTTAGAGTGTGTTGATTACGTAGATGCACAGGTAATCTCACGATTGAGTGACTTTTTTCTTGTAATGTATGACTTAATATACGATCACTGGCTTCGACTGGGCTGACATATCGAGCCTCCACGAAATTACGAATTTCATCATGATCGATCACATTTTCACCACATGGCCTTTGTAAACATATTTATATAGATACTTCACAGATTGGATAGATGAAACGACTTCTACGTTGATATGACAATTGTATAATTTCAATAGTGTGGGATTATAGGGAACTACAAATTGATTGTCAGTTGTATGTCCATTTCCATGGTTATAAATACCAGTGTTTCTGCGACGATACGTAGGATATCCATTCTCATCTAGGGTAGTTTCGGCTTGAAAATCTTTGGGGAAATGTTTCGTACACTTACCTTTTTCGTTTTTACACCAACTGCCACATGGACCGTGAATCATGTCTTTCATTACGATTTCATGTAACGTGGGATCTTTGTCTGGACTTGGAATTTCTGCAGAAATATATTTATCAACTACATCTGGAGTAGTTATCTTGTGATTCTGTTTCCACGTTAATAATATATGGACATGAGGTAAACCTCGTTTCTGATATTCAACGACATACACGTATGCAAGCACTTCACCGAACAATTTATCTTTTATGATGGTTTTTTTGATCAACTCATCTTTTTTCATGTGAAAAACACGTGAAACTAAATCAGGTCGATCAGATGGTGTTTGACCGGGTAATAAATTTTCTTGTATTTCACGCCAATTCGGATTGCACGTCATCGTAATGAAGAGATCTGGTTTACCGAATTTCCTTACAATTGCCATGGCATCTTGATAGTGCTGCATCATATTGCGTGGAGAACCCACAAATGATGAAGGAAGAATCACCATTTTTCCTACTCGACCATGAGCTTCATCTGCTCTTCTTTGTAAATGTTCTCTTAAACCTTGGTACGTGTCAGAACGTAGCTTTTCTTGATTATTCCTATCAAATGTCAAACGGTCTCTCAACTTTTAGGTAGCTGTCAACAATCCATTGTTGGAATAATCTGCCGCCTTTGAGAATCACATTGTCGTCTCTGTCAGCCATTCTGTACTTTGTATAAGCATTGCGTGTAACTCGTCCAGGCCTGTTCGTCAATGGCATTTTGTCATGCCATCCTCGAGTTCCGTTGGGATAGAACCGTGGATAAATCCACGGTTCAACATTGGGATCCATGGTGCTGATATACGTGAGTTCTTTCGTAGCTTTGACACGGATTGAAACATAAGACTCTGGAATTTCGCCGTCCGCAGTGGTAGTGAATATCGCTGCGACTTCATTAATCTTTTGGAGATTATATCGTCCACGATCCATGCCTGGTTTTAAAGAAAACAATAGTTGCATCTCAGATTCCACTCCTGATTCTCTAGAGTTAAGTCTAGATTGCAAGGGTTCTTCGTGCATCATTTGATATGATCGTGCGAAGTCATTGCATTCCCGAAGTGCGCTATCGATTTCACCTACCAATTCTGCATCCAACGTTGACATTTGATGGCATCGAACATCAGTTGCTTCATTTTGATCAACTATGAAGAGCTGACCATATGAAGGACATTCACTTCCAGTCAGTTTTTACAGTTGAAAATCTTTGGACTCTCAAATTTCTGGCTCCGATTTTATACTCGACCTGAGTTCTAGGATCTGAGTTCTAGGATCTGATTCTCTATGTGTAAACTCTTGAAACTATTTTCTTGAAATCTGTAAATGTTTCGATGGGATAATCACTGCGATGTTCTTGATGCTCACAATCACCTCGGGGAGGAGTCCGAGAAATCTGAAAATGAAAAGAATTCAATAAAGAAAAATTTCATTTGCAATGAAAATTTCAGTCGAATGCACGAAGAAATTATCTGCTTACCTTGATTGATTGGTTGAGGGTATGAACGGAGCACAGGATTTTGTTCTTGGCACCCGAGTGAATAATGAAAGAATTAACCCATCAACCTCCAGCGCTCTGAAAGTTATTTCCCTGCAAGAGAATCACGTTTTGTATTCGTTATGCATCGGTATTATCATCTAAGAGCAGAGAATTCCATGCAAGGAGGGCGACATGAAATGTGAATTGAGGTTAGGCGTAGTCATTTACGTACAGACATGAAATTTTGTTCGAGGGGCCTAATTTGTCATGGAAAAAAAAATTCAAGTTCATGTAATTTATTCGAGTCATCATAGATAGATAGAAAATGCAAATGAATCTACTTACTGTGGTTTTTTTCTCCTACGGAATTCAATGAACCATTCGAATCGCCTTGTGGGTTATCAATTATTGATATTTCAAGATCGAAGAATGAAACTCGATGGTTTTGGTGTCCAACAACTCCCGGAACCGTTAAAATATCATTTCTGAATTGTTTCCAGATTATAATTATTTAATAATGTGGGAAACAACAATACTTCTACTTTATATTGACATAGCACCCGAAGTCTCGTGTCGCTCATNGAATCTACTTACTGTGGTTTTTTTCTCCTACGGAATTCAATGAACCATTCGAATCGCCTTGTGGGTTATCAATTATTGATATTTCAAGATCGAAGAATGAAACTCGATGGTTTTGGTGTCCAACAACTCCCGGAACCGTTAAAATATCATTTCTGAATTGTTTCCAGATTATAATTATTTAATAATGTGGGAAACAACAATACTTCTACTTTATATTGACATAACATCCGAAGTCTCGTGTCGCTCATACTCTTTCCATGAAAATCTACCCCTAGCCACATGAACGACCGTCGGTAATTCCTTCATTCCGTAAGCAGTAATTCCTTCCCCTAATTTTAAAAGAAAGAGAATTTTGTACCAAATTCAATGAAGAGTGATGTTTGTTTATTTATTTCTGTTCTATGACAATCACTTTTTATTTTCTATACAAACATCTTACAATCGAGAGGAAAATACAAAGAAACATTACGTTACATACGTTATATGGTGTAAGGATATTTTCCCGGGTTGTTCACCTAGGAAAAATCCAAACTCTGAGGCAAACTCGTCCACTCAGAGGACTTTTTGAGCTGGACAATGGGTTTCCTAGGTAACATCAGCGTGATACGGTAGAGTGGGCGAGGTCTACCAGGTGTATTACTACCACATCCTCACGAGCCTTTGCAAGCCGTGTATTATACTTTGCATAACTTTCCATAATGAAATAGATTCCTAACCTTCTGGAGAATCTTTCGACTCTGCCAGTGTTCATTCTCCTCCCGAGTCTTTCGACTCGGGGGAGTTCAGAGCTAAATGCGAATCAGCCGGGACTCCTCAGAGCCTGGGACGCCGAGAGGCTGATCCGACCAAAGTGGAACGCTGTTACCCACTTCACGACCACCCACACTCTTGGCCACCAGTTACCGCTTCGGTCATCGCTTGTCAGCGCCTCCGGGTACTCAAATGTCGGCACATGGTCGGGTCGACAGGAGGACGATCTCTACTCCAGACCCACGGGCCCATGTGCTCGGCATTTGTTTCGCCGAGCCGGATGACGCCGGAAACAACAAAGTCGTCACCTCGTGTGCCGAAATAACTCCTTTTTTACTAGTGGGGGATGCAGGAGCATCCCCCTACGCTCGCCGCCAACGGTTATTCACCGAGGCGACGTGGAGTCCGGAACTCCTTATCCTGGCTTCTTCAGCCATTCCACCATCCAGCACACCGAGAGATTATTTCAACCTCTCGGTTCAAGCGCTCGCGTTCGACTGCCTCGGAATCTTACTAGGGCCTTGCCTCCTAGTCGGGATATCTCGGCGACGATAGGTCATTCCGTTACCCTATCCCCACCAATCAATCCGACGGGATCACGGAGGTACCAGTCCTTTCACCTGGCCGTTGGTCCCTAGCCTACTCCGACATAGCCTATAGAATCGCCCAGTTGGACGGCCTGTACGTCGGCCCCGTTTCCCCTAGCACATGCTGGGCGAATTCTAATACGGCGATAGTCTAGTAACGCCCTCCAGACCTCCAGGGGTCGCGGTTTCTCCCATAACCACTATGCCTTAGGTCTTTCATTGGTTTGTGGTTTATCTCACCTAGTCCCGGTTTTCTTCAGCCGCTTCTAGGTGTCACTACTTATCTCTCTTCAACAATTTTGAGAGTTCACTTATCTTTTTAAGGGGATTTCAACCCGTAACGAGAAAATCTCGTTACAATGGCAATGAGGATACAGGGATTATTACAATTTTTTTTTAAATCATTTTTTCGATTGTTGATCGACAATATTTTTTCAAGTGCATGCTGTTTGCTCGAATTACTTAAAATTGAAGTTTTTTACTGAAAAAGATGCACAATTACCTTAAAGAATCGATTGAATTTAAACAATCTTTCCATCCATGTATGACAAAATGGGAATTCAATTCCACTCAAGATGTGTAACAATCATATTACTCAGAGAACTTAATTAGTCTTTCTCTCATATTAAAAGTATTGATTATGCAAGCATTTCTTTTTTAATAAATATTTTTCTTAGGCTCTAAATTATCTACGATTCGAGTCTCTGTTTCTATGAATGCTTTATACATTTGGCTCTTGCATATCACGATTAGTTATATTTTAATAAATAAATTAAATTATTATTCACGAATGAATATCACAAATTGGAGTTTCCAATTAATTTACGTCTCTAGTTTTCCCTAGTCAAGTTTAGGTTAAGGAAATACTGTTCTAGTCATTTTCTAGTTTTTTAGTCTTCAAAAATAAATTATCGATAAATCTAGTCTTTCTCTAGTCATCTTTAAGTTAATGAAATTCTAGTCTCGAATGATTTTTTTAGAAAGTTAACTCTTTCACGTGACGCAATTATTTTTTACATTATGATTGTTCTCTTGAAAGTTTTTTTTCTCAATCTGAATGAGATCACAGGAAATTTAATTTGAGAAAAATCTACGAAAAGATTAGTGATAATGATAAATATTGTCTCTCAGTTGAAATAACAGTAATAATACCCCTTTGTACCTAGCGATGGGTGTACGTGTGTTTCCATTTTTCCATCGAGATGTCTCTCTGAATTTCATTCATCTCAATTGACATCTTTCTCTGAATCTCTTCTGCATCCTGAACGTTCGAGCGACGTTTTGGTTCCGGTAAATCTCCAGTTGAGTAGCGTTTGGAGGTCGCTGAGATGATTGCTTTGGACATTTCTTCCTCCGTAGCCGTTTTTCCCTCGATGACAACGATGTGATTCATGTCTGGGACTTCGAAGTAGTACTCGACATGTGACTTGTTGGTCTTCATGATCCTGGACTTCAGTTTCCCCATGAGCTTGACACACGTTCCAACCTCGATCTCTTTCTTGTCCTTGAAGATGGCAATTTGAACAGCGAGCCTGTGTTTACCATTGACAATGCTGCCTCCACCGTAAGAAGCCGAGAAATAGACAACTTCAACAAATGGACTCTTGATGAACCCAGTAACTGACACTGGAGCGTCTTGGTTACGAAGGAGAGTTTCCATGGCAACTTCCGGGTAATTTTCTGGGACAATAATTCCAGCTCCTTCGAGAATTCCCAGATATTTGATGGTACTCGCTGCCTGAGCATTGAACTCCACATCAACAACGTCTTCGTTCCCATGATAAGAAGCATTTGTAGGAGTAATGCAACCCATAGTGATATACATTTTCTGAAGAGGAAATTTTTTTTTGTAAAGAAATGTTTTACCCACAGTTCAAGGTTTTCGATTAATAATTATTGATGATGAAAATTCTGTTGGGACAACTAATTATTATTAACATGAAGAAATACCTGGTGATGGGAAATCTTCGGTGAGTTGACCTTGGCGACATTGTCCCACATCAGTACACGAATCCTCGTTCCGTCCCCATTGTTTATGACAAACTTCAGCAATGTTTTTTTTCCATTGCTGACAGTTTTCATCCCATCAATCTTATCGACGTAACCCGAGAGTATCCTGTGAGATGAAAAAAAAAATGAATTCCTCGATATCCCACACTTTCTATGTCAATTTTTTTTAGTTTTCAATTTTTGACAATTCAATTAAATGAATCAAACAAAAAAAGGATTTCTAGTTGTTCTATCATGATTTACTGGGGTCGTTGATATTAATTCTTGAGTGCAGATGAAAAGAATTTGTCCATGCCATGTGACTTGAGAGGTTATGGTGTGTACTTTTCTATGTTGTTTTGTAGACAAAATAGCAATTAGAATAAAGAAATACTTACACAGCTGTGTCTCCCGCCTCAAAATTGAGAATTTCCTCAGTAGAGGTAAATGGATGGCTTTGCAATGGCATTTTTAACGCGGATTTCGCTTCGGAAAATTTCACGTAATTTGGGGGAACGGCTGCCTGGTGTGATTACCGAATGGTGAGAAGGAATATGCTGGGGAGCGGCGTGGGCACGTGAACGTTCGTTGGCAGCTCACACACCAGGTGGCGTGAACGTCTAACAATGATATGAGAATATTTCAAATGAAAATCTCGCGGCACTGTCAATTTTTAACGCGGATTTCGTTTCGGAAAATTTCACGTAATTTGGCGGAACGGCTGCCTGGTGTGATTACCGAATGGTGAAAAGGAATATGCTGGGGATCGGCGTGGGCACGTGAACGTCCGTTGGCAGCTGACACACCAGGTGGCGTGAACGTCTAATGGTGAAAAGGCATATGCTGGGGATCGGCGTGGGCACGTGAACGTTCGTTGGCAGCTGACACACCAGATGGCGTGAACGTCTAACCAATGATATGAGAATATTTCAAATGAAAATTTCGCGGCACTGTCAATGAACCAATAAGGAATCGTGCCTTCACTTTTGCGAGATTTTCGATACAATCGATTGTGACATGTATGTTCCTTTTAGAATAGGATTGAATACAATTTCACGCTTGAGTGATTTGAATCGATTAAATTCTTTGGTGTTATCACTTATCTTATGCAGTCTGGATTCTCCAACTAGTAGTGGGTTAGTGAATACTGAACCTGCGCCTCATTTGCTAGGTACTACCGTTTTGACGTTCATTTCCACTAGCCATCTCTATTATCGAATGACGCATTTTCCATAAAATGCTCAATATATGGCCGCGGTGTATTTACTTTTCTAACCCGCTCTGCGTAGCATCATGCATGGGGATCGTGACGTGGGGATACCAATACCGAAATTGAGCAACGCCTCAAGTTTTTGAAGCAAGTCTGGGCTGAATTGAAAGAGCTGGCAGCCACGAGGGGTCAAAAGCTCGACGAATCACTGACGTATCAATAGTTCTTGATCAAGATTGAGCAGAAGCAGGTCTGGATTACTGAGAAACAACAACTGCTGTCAGTAGAGGATTGCGGGGACACTATAGCTGCAGTTCAAACGCTTCTGAAGAAGCACTAAGCGTTTGAACCTAACTTTGCAGTGCATGTGGAGCGCTGTAAGTACATTTGCGAGGCTGGGGAGCAGTTGATTGAGGCAGGGAATCATTGAAGGCACGTCATTGGGCAGAAGTTCAATCAGCTTCCGATGGTGATCATCAAGAGGTAGGATAAGCTCAGCAGACGTTTGTCGCAACCTGGACATCTTATTGACCATGCCCAAAAGCTGTTTTCATTCTGGCAAGTAGTATTCTATTCATAATGAGTTCGCATATTCCGATTTATAGATGGCGTCAGATAAAGTGAGGATATCAGATAGTCATTTTGATGAGAATGACACATTCTCCTCCGGTATCAACGAAAAAGACACAAGCATTGTTGACGAAAAGTTGTCACCACCCGTTGCAAATCCGAAAGTCGCACGTTTCAACAACACTACTAATGCCTTAAGCTCAGGAGAATTCGTCAAACGTCAGGAATTTGATGATCTCGCGAAGACCGTGACCACATTGACTATGGCAATAAATGTTCAGTCATCGCAACCGTCGGCTAGCACTTCAAGCCGAAAGGCAACTGACTGAAAGACACTGTGAGTATAAGCATTGAATAGTAATTCAGTAGCCGGGTGATGAAACGGTTATAATATTTATTAGTATGCATTCATGAATCAGTAAAAAAAGTTACGAATATAGAAAAAAAATACAAATATCGGATAGCGATGAAAGATACCGTCCACACCACTTTATCATTTTGTTCCATAAATTTTAATTCATTTTTCAATTGCTAAATGTTAGCGCTTGAAGTTTAGACATATTTGATATCATAGCAATAGCTCAGTGGTGAAAGAATATATAATCTGATAGAGAATTTTTTTTTTTTACACCTCGAAGCAAAGTTGATACTTTCTCTCTCTTAGCCAGGGCAGAAAACCAGTACTTTCCTCTCTAGGGTAGAAAGTAAGTCCCTAGGGTCCAAAGTTATTCTCTAGGAAGGGAAGTACTCATTTCCTGTCCTTGGGAAGATAACGAACTTTCCGCTGAGGCGTATAAAAGAAGCCGGGGCGCACTGCGGGCAGATAAACTTTTCTGACTGGAGCGGAGTGGGTGATGCTCGAGGCCCAAAGAACTTTTCTTCATCTCGGGCATTACTCAACACAACCACCAGTAATGATCAACTCTCCCCCTAGGTGCACCGCGATAATATGCGGCTATTATCCATTTTTTTTTGCATTCATTCTCTCAGTAGCTTGATCATTTCATGCGGATATCCATTTTGGAAAGGAATTAATTTTTTTTATTCATTTACTTAGGAAAGTCGATAATGAAACTTTCAATTTCCTCAATAGATCTTTGTGCCTGTAGATCTGGGAATTAATAACAATTTTTAATTAATGAATTTGAAAGGGGGCGTTCCGATCGGTCGATGGAACCAGCTGTCACATGGAGCAGCTCGGCTATTCTTAAGTTTATTTCATACTTTTTAAATCAGTAAATACGCAAACTCTGCAAAATTTGGTAGTTCTTACTGTGATCTACCTCTGGACATATAAATTATCGTCTCAAACATCTTGTTGGACTGGTAAAAACTGATCCAAAAAGTCTTCAACGTTTAGCAGGTTAGTTGTACGTAGGTCAACGTTTTTGAGCCGGTGTTCATCTTCAAAGCCGTACTTTTTCCGAAGGGGCCTCTCTCAATGTCTCAGTCTGGTCTGTCTGAAATAACAAGTGACAGCCCGGTGGATAACGACTCAACCAGTGAAACGGTTATCTGTCCTACCGACCCAACTGATTCGTCAGCTGTTCTACGTGCTCCTAAACCCAAACGAAAATACACAAAAAGAAAGTCACCACCGAAACATATACCTGATCCATCCCTAACTCCTATCACAAATTTGCTCTTACTCGGTAAGCGTAAAAGAAACCTTGCTTCGTCTCTCAACTCCTGCACCAGCCCATCCTCCAGCCCTGAAGATAACCCTACGAAAAAACTCCATACCCTTGCCCGTCGCCAGTTCTCTACTTCCTCTGACTCCGATCACGAAAAATACTTTTCTCCCACCCACGAGACAGCTGACACCGCAGACATGGATGACATTGTACAACGTCTAGCACGTACGGAGACCTCCCAGGAGATACTTCATACAAAAATCTCGCTGACCTCATAGCGAATACGGCAAAGGACCATATGAACTGCATCACTCAGCTGAGGGCAGATTTGGAGGCACAAAAATTGGAATACTAACAATTCACACAGGCACATAACCTGAAATTTACCAACTTTGAGCTAGCGATGAATAAAAAAATTACATTGCTTGAAAATAAACTCGATAATGGGCTGAAAGAATCCCATGAAACTCTCCAGAGCTTTGGAAATTTACAGTCAAACCAGCACAGCCAAAATAGTGTTGCAATACTTTCTGATAAAATCGAGAAACTTGAAAAAGAGGCGAAGAAAAAAAAATTGTTATCACCGGACTTGTTTGCAACTATGCCACTGTCAGAGATGTTGCACTTGATTTTTTAAACAAAACTTTCAATGCTGGCAGCTTTGCTCAAGAAATCAGATTACTTCCTCCGAGAAAAGACAATAAATCTAGAGCCCTAGTAAGTCTTGACTCTGTTGCCTCCAAATTCAACATTCTTCGTAATAAACGCCAACTAAAGGGCAGCAATATATATGTTGATTCTGATCTGACACAAAGGGAGAGTGATATTACTAGACATCTCCGAATATTTGCCAGAGATGCCCGTACCAAAGGACACATAGTAATATTGAAGCACCTCCAGATATCCATTGATGGAATCTGGAATACGCTAAATCTAGAGAACAACACTCTTATCCCACTGAAGAAATCACCTAGTCCAAAATCTCTCCACAACGCTGCTCCTTCCCACCTCTCCAACCAGACAAATAGACCTCAACCACCCTTTTCCTTCAACCTCATCCCCTCCTCCCGAAAAAACTGAAAACACCTGCTCCAGCGCTGAAGTTGATGTTCGGGAATGTCTCTGGCTTTGTACATCTGCCCGACCATGAGGATCTTGAGGACTTCGACATCATTTGTCTCTCAGAGACGATGCTGGAGACAAATAAACCTGAGAGACTACCCAACTCCGTACGAGACTACAGCGACTTCTGGAGCAATGCCACTAGGGATGCTGACCGAGGAAGAGCGAGTGGCGGACTTCTAACTCTCGTAAAGAAAAACTTGCCTTGCGAATGCATTTCTGTGAGTAATTACTGGATTTTTATTAAACTTGAATCTAAACATGGTCCAATTATTATTGCAAACATATATTTTCGGCCAAGTAATATTAATATTTCGTCGGTTCTTAAAGAACTTCAACAAACTATTGATAATTTTGATTTACTTTACGATACAGACTTTGTTTTTCTGGGGGGTGATTTTAATGCTAAACTGGGGAAATCTTTCCTAAACTATGTACCAAATGAAATTTTTGATAATATCTATCTAGACTCTGAATGTAATTTAAGTGATTTAGGCTCTAATGATAGAGGAACAAATATTACAGAATTTATGATGACAAATGGGTTCACTTTAGTCAATGGGCGCTCTCGTAGCGACAAGCCTGCCAAAGCCACTTTTGCAAATCACATTGGGAAAAGTATAATAGATTTAGTATGGATCAAAGCAATAGGTGCTGGAGCCATTGATGACTTTCTCGTGGAACCCAGAGCCACCGGGTCTGAACACTTTCCAGTCAATTTATTGCTCTGGGGTGGTGACGCGCAGTCATCTGACTCTCTGAATGAGGTCTTACCCCATAGCTCTAAAGTTTTCATGCCAAAATGGCTACCGAACGAAACAGAAAAAATTGTGAACTTTCAAAACGAAATGCGTTTATCTGAGCACTTATCTGCTG